AAGGCCTGCCCCTCCTCCTCTTTGCCTTCACCTGCTGCTCTTCCCCTGACTCATCACCTCTTCTCCAGGTACTTTGAGCTGCGTGCACTGTGTGCTTGCAGATTTCTGTGCATTTGTCATGCCATTTCTTCTACCTGGATGTCCTTCCCCTTCTTTTCTCACCTCCTTCCACCTGGAGAAGAAATCTTATGTGGGTAATTTAGTTAAAGGGGAAGGCTTCGTGACCTAACCCCACAGTGTTACTACTCTTCTCTCTATGTTCATGGAGCATGTTGTACCGGCCTCTATTACATTGTATTATCGTGGTTTACGTGGCTGTCTCGTCTACTGCCCTGTGAATTGTTTGTGTCTGGTGACACTTTATTATTCTCTGTATCCCCAGTGCCAGCATTGTGGCTAACATATAAAATGTCTCTGGATGTCACCTGAATGAATGGGGAGGAAACTGAGGAAGATCTGGATAACTTACATGTAAAAGAAAGCCTTGCTATTGTCTTAAAAGCACAAAGAGATATTTTCTTCACTGAACCTAGGTGAAACAGTTCCATTTGCCTTCATTGTGCTATGCACAGTATCTTTTGACACTTAAGAAAAGACTGATTTAGAACTTTCAGCGAAGTGTCTGATCCTTCACGAAGGAGGTGTACCAACTGATATGAAGTCTGAGTTGCTATACTGTACTTCTGGGCACCTCGTCTCTTTCCTCCTTTGAGACTTCAGATGAGAGGGCTGCTCTGGAACCGCTGAAGCTTGGTAAACATCATCTCACTCATCATCTCCATGACTGGAAGAGGGATCTTCATTCTGCAGGGCCTGTGGAATCTGTCAGGGCCTGTCCATTTCCCTTGGGGTCTTTTGAGCTCAGCATGTACAGGCACGGCCCCAGGGGATGAAGCTGCTGAAGAGGCAACCTCGGTGTCAGCGAGCTCAATTGCAAGGCAGAGTTCACTCTTCACCTGTGTCCCTCAGCTGCTCAAGGCCAGTAGATAGTCTTAGGAGTAGGATCCTACTACAGAGAGGGGTCCTCCTGAACATGGGGCAGGAAGATGACAGTGTGTTCTTTCTCCTATGTCTTTTGGACCCATTTGGATCATTTGGATCCATGTGAAAAGTCACCAGATGCCTCATGAAAAAGAGGCTTTTTTTTTTTTTTTCATTAAGCTCTGGGTTTTTCCTGTATAATTAACAAGTAACGTTAAGTGAATACCTGAAGTCATTGTAATTGGGCTTGAACCCTGACTCCGGGGTGTAGGGTTGCGTAATTTGGGCCCAGGGCAGCAGGAAGGATTGCAAATCACTGGAAAATGAAGCAGGAATCTAAGTCAGGGAGAGACTGGGGTTTGAAGGAGGTGGCCAGCTTTGAGCAACTGGTTGAAGAACCTGGTTTCTAGGGAGGTAGGTGCCCAACATCAGAGTAGGGCTCGCAGCAAGAATGCCAAGCCGCTAGGACACCAAGCAATTAACCTGGAGCTTCCTGATTCTTCCTTCAAGGAAAGGATGGATTCAACTCTGAGGCAGTGCTGAACCTGAGGTGTGGGTTACCTGGGACCTGGTATGAGGATTAGAGAGTTATAGGGGCAAGGGGACAGACGAACTATAGTATATTGGCTTTCTATGTCGGTCTCTTGGTTTTGCATCAGTTCCTCTCTTCAGCTCAGCTTCCTTCAGTTCTCTCCTGGTTTCCAGGTGGGCAGGCTCTGTTCCCTCTTGGCCTGTGTTCTCCTCCCTGACAAGAGGTCACAGCTACTGCCTCACAGGCATGGCCAGGGTCCTGTAGGCTGTGACCACCGTCTTAGACCAGCCTCTGTCACAGTTATGTCTTCTCAGTATCCTGCTAGGGAGCTCAGAGCTGGGAGAGTCATCGCCATCAATAGTTCCTGCGCATCCCCCTGTCTTCCCCCATTCACTCAGCTTTCTCCCCTTTCTGTCCAACGTTTCAGCTCTCTGATTGTCTTGTCTCCCTAGCCTCTCTAGTCTTTATCAGCTCACCAAAAATGAATGACTGAGGATAATTATACTCAACATTTATTGAGTTCTTACTATAGGCCAAATACAATATCTCATTTTTAATTTCACAAAAGACACTGTAATAGAGTCTGTTATAATCTGCCTTCTACTGATGAGGAAACTCAAGTGGTTAAGACTATAAGCTCCTTCAATTTAATAAATTTTTATTGACCGACTGCTGAAAATCTTATGTGTCTCTATCCCTTGTGTTACACAGAACAATTTTGCTATCACCTCTCCAGAGAGCCGAATATATGTATTTTTTTTTAAACCATCCTCTCTCTTGGCAAGTCCTTCAGTGTCTTTCTTATACATCATAAAAGTTATTTCAGATTAAAATGAGTTTAGCCCAGTCTCTTTGATTAATGTCCTCATTTTCTTAGATGAACAAAAGTTTGATCTTGGTTTCCTCATCTGTGCAATGAAATTAATACTATATATCTCAAAGGATCATAGTGAAGATTAAACAAACACGTAAAACATTTAGTATAGTTCCTCGAACATAATAAGCACTCAGTAATTGTGACAGTTTATCATAATTAGGCTGAAGACTTATCAGAGGCACAGTGAAACCCAGTGATAAACATCAAGGTTAACGCCATAAACCAGCACACATAAAATGCCAATGTGTGTTAACACAGTGCCCCTAAACGGTGGGGCCCTCTGGAGCCTCCTATAACCTTCGGAGGCCCTAAATCATACTACGACCTAAGAACATGCTGGCCCAAAGGCAGAGATAAGGTTACTGCAATCAGTGCTTCGAATACCTGCTTACGGAAACGGGTGCGCTCCCAGAGGCCTCGGGAGAACGGTGGAGCGGGCCTCAGAAGGGCAGTATGCTTGGGGCTGCACTTCTCTGCCTGCTGTTTCCTCCTCCCCATCCCGGCGTCCAGAGGGGTTCGGGCAGGTGGATCTGCCCTTACTGTTCCCCCCACTCGGCCCCTCTAATTCAAGCTTGAGAACAGCTTCCCCCTGACATAACAACCTTCAGCACAAAAGCACCGTGTAGGGTACAAGGGAGAAAGGAAAGCTCCAGTTACCCAGGGGAGAAATCACTTACCCAGGGTCATGCAGCAGGCTAATAACAAATTCAAGGTGAGCACCGAAGTCTCCTGACAGCGGGCTAGTAGTATGCTGATACACTTAGCACTTGAAATTTTACTGGCATCAGGAAGTGGTTTCTCATTTATATTACAAACGCCAATTCATTTTTTTATAGAAAAGTAGTGGGTAGACATATTTACAGCTTTATCTTCACCATGTCAAAGTGGATTCCTGGATCTCCTGAGTGTTTCTAAACTGCAGAAGAATTCCCCTACAGTCTTCCACTTCAAACGTTTTCCACATAAAATGCCTGATAGCTCATCTCACTTTTGCCAAAAATAAAGCACAGCCACTCTCCCCTGACTCTGACCTTCTATAGCGGTGCAGTCCTCCGCCCCAGCTTCATCCTTCAGCCTTGCCGTCTGAGGGACACCCACTTTTTTCCATTGGCTTTGTCCATTCTTTGTGTTATAAGGGCAGAATGTTTAAAAGTTGAAGTCGTTGACTTGGAAAATGAGAAACTTTTGGAGAGCATCTTGTTTATACCACTTACATAGCTTAGAGCACTGTGGCCACCAAGAGCTGCCGCTCTTTATGTAGTTCTTACCAAGAAATGAAGATAATAGCATTTATCCAGCATCAGGCTATGACAATGGACTTCACAGTCCCCAGGAAGCTTTATCCTTGGGAGGTGGGAAAGAATCATTGCTCCAGTCTTTTTTTCTTTTTCATTGAATTTATTGGGGTAACATTGGCTAATAAAATTAACATATAGACCTATAACCATATATTGGTCTCAGGTATACAATTCTATAATACATCGTCTGTACATTGTATTCTGTGTTCACCACCCCGAGTCAAGTCTTCTTCCACACTCCTGTCTTTATAGACTGTTAAACAGAGGCAAAGAAAGACCAAAGGCACTTAGTGTGCTTTAAATTAATAAAGCCTACGTTAACATGTAGGAAATTCAGGTGAAGGTTATGTGGGAATTCTTTCCCCCAGCTTTATTGAGATACAGTAAATACACTGTACAAGTTTGAGGTGTACAATGTGTTGATTTGATACATTTATAAATTGCAAAAATGATTACCACCATAGGGTTTGCTACCACCTCCATTCATTCCATTGTATAGTTACCATTTCTTTTTTGTGGTGAGAACATTTAAGATCTATTCTCTTAGCAACATTCAAGAATATGATACAGTATTATTAGCTATCATCACCATGCTGTAGATCCCAGAACTTATTAATCTTTTAACTTGAAAAATGTACCCTTTGACCACAATTTCCCATTTCTCCTACCCCCGCCCCCCGCCCAACACCTGGTAACTACCACTCTATTTTCTGAGTTTGTCTTTTTTTTAGATTTCACATATAAGTGAGATCATACAGTATGTGTCTTTTTCTGTTTGGCTTATTTCACTTAGCAAACATCCTCATTCCATTATCTGTTGATAGACACTTAGGTTGTTTCCCTGTCTTGGTTGTTGTGAGTAATGTTGCAATGAACATGGGAGTACAGCTATCTCTACAAGATCCTGATTTAAATTTCTTTGGATATATAACCAGAAGTCAGTTGCTGGCTCATATGGTAGTTCTGCTTTTAATTTTTTGAAGAACATCCATCCTGTTTTCCTAGTGCCGTATCAATTTTCATTCTTGTTAAGAGTGCACAAGGTTGTCAGTGGGAATGCTTCATACTGAGTTTGCTACATTTTTATGTTTGAAATTGTCAAAATGAAAATAAAATTATTAATAAAGAAGAGAATAACAATGGTTATTACCCAAATTAGCACTAAAATCTACTTTCCACTATTTACTTGATTTTTTTTTAATCCTTGTGGAAAAGGATACAGCAGTCATTTTCCAAATGCGTAAGTCACATTGGCAAAGAGACAGCTGAGAACGTTGCTAATGCTGGGCGTCCCTCTCCTGTGTCTCCCCAGGCGCAGCGAACCTGCCGGCCGGCCTCACTCTTGGCATTCAACCAAACTTGCGGAGAACCAGCCCAATGCCAGCATGATGCAAATATCTCAGAGCACGATTGGCACTCCGTGGCCCCAGAGCTACCATTCCAGGTAAGTGGCCAAAGCTGAGGCCCAGCGGTTTCTTCCCTCCAAATGTCCTGTCCCCGAAAGAACATTTTCTTCTATTTTGAGAACATTTTTTTCCCCTTCACCCTGAATGAAATCTGTCTACCCACAACCTTCCTTATCCTCTTAAAATTCCTAATGTGTACCACTCATCTTCATATCCTCAGCTAGATTGGTGTGAAGCAGGGACAGAATTATTTTGAGCACTGGCTAACTATTTGAGATATTTATTGGGTCTCTTGATTCTCAAGCATTTCTCAGTTAACACATTATAACACTATACTAGAAAAAATGACAAAACTTCTTCCCTCAGTACTTATGTGCTTCCTGCTTTAGTCAAATGTGACAGGGACTGGGGAGAAGGGAGCCAAACCTGACCACGCAGACCTAGTAAAGCGAAAGCTAAGTCGGGTTCCTTCCACTTATTACAGACGTGGAACCCACACAGACTGGTATTAACCTTCTGATCCCAGAGAGTCCCGCTCTGTGGCTTCATCACTTTTTGGAAGGACTTGATAAGGATGATGGTAGGGAGGTTGGAGGGTCAAGAGTATTTGGGTCCTGCATAGACACGCGATGCCAGCGCTGGTGCCGGGGAGTGGAGGACAGCTTCTGAAAGGGTTACTTACCTAACCGATGACGGCTGTGCATTTGGCAAGGCCAGGACTCAGAACTCTTAACACTCACGCCTGGTCAGATGAAAAGCCAAATCTCAGACCTCTCACTGCAGGACATGGCTCCCAGCATTTTAGGGCAGGCTTCAGGCCTCAGGAAGGAAAACTTCCTGGTTGCCCTCCCTGTCACAGGCCTCCTCTCCCTTGCCCCTGTCCCTCCCAGTAACTCTGAACGAATTCATTTTGACCATCTGAGCCACCTGTGCTCGGAAAACAGGTCCCCGGTAGGGCCCTATGCCCGTCGCAGGCATAGTGCTTTGGCATGTTGGGCATGGAGGTGCTGAAGGCCTTTGGAAGGTCAGACGTGGGGGGCTAACAGCATGAAGGAAGGACAGTGTAATGGTAAGGTACTTGGGTTTTTAAGTCAGATGCAGGTTTAAATCTCAACTTTGCATGAGCCTCCTAGTGCATGAGCCTGAGCAAATTGTTCTACCTCTTTGTTCTTGGTTTCCTCATCTGTGCAATGAAATTAATACTATGTATCTCAAAGGATCATAGTGAAGATTAAGCAAACACGTAAAACATTTAGTATAGTTCCTCGAACATAATAAGCACTCAGTAATTGTGACAGTTTATCATAATTAGGCGGAAGACTTATCAGAGGCACAGTGAAACCCAGTGATAAACTTCAAGGTTAACGCCATAAACCAGCACACATAAATGCCAATGTGTGTTAACACAGTGCCCCTAAACGGTGGGGCCCTCTGGAGCCTCCTATAACCTTAGGAGGCCCTAAATCATACTATGACCTAAGAACATGCTGGCCCAAAGGCAGAGATAAGGTTACTGCAATCAGTGCTTCGAATACCTGCTTACGGAAACGGGTGCGCTCCCAGAGGCCTCGGGAGAACGGTGGAGCAGGCCTCAGAAGGGCAGTATGCTTGGGGCTGCACTTCTCTGCCTGCTGTTTCCTCCTCCCCATCCCGGCGTCCAGAGGGGTTCGGGCAGGTGGATCTGCCCTTACTGTTCCCCCCACTCGGCCCCTCTAATTCAAGCTTGAGAACAGCTTCCCCCTGACATAACAACCTTCAGCACAAAAGCACCGTGTAGGGTACAAGGGAGAAAGGAAAGCACCGTTTACCCAGAATGTGGCAGACGTGTGGATTCTCTCCTACCCCAGCACAAACCGTCTATGGGTTGTGTTCATTCCATGCCTCGGGCTCACAGCTCTGGCAGAGGGCTGCACGCCAGCTCTCAGCTCTGCTCACGGCGTCCGACACTGGCAGCTGTCGGTGGAGAGGCGCTCCAGGTGTGCTCTGGGGAGCACAATGGCATCTAGTGGTCTAGCGTGCTGACTCCATCTATCAGCATCCCCCTGACAGCCTTCCTTTGGTTCCAGAAACCCGACCTCAGTCCTTAGTTTATGCATCTGTTTCTCATTAAGAAGCAGGAGAATGAGGGAGCTCAAGGGAGGGGGAGGAGAAGGAGGGAGAAATACAAAGAGAACTGAAGGCTGAACCACCGGCAGGCTGGCTTGGAGCTGGGGTTTCACTGGAACTGCAGTTCTGCTGCCTTCTGGCAGACTTGTCGCTGTCTTTTTGCTCTCCTGCAGAAATCTCACACAGTGGTTCTACAGTACTAAAGCACTTTAGGAGTCTTTGCAGTCCAGTTCCCTCATAAGAGGACGAAATAACGGTATCAAAATACTCAACCTGTACTTATTCATTGATTTATTCACTCAAACAAATATATACTGAGCACCTACTATGTTTCAGATGAACAAGATATAAAAAGTCCCCACCCTGTAATGTTTATCTCCCAAGATGTGTCCCATGGGATAATAATCGATTAGATGCCCTTTGGAAAAAGTTTCTAGGGTCAAATAGGGGGTTTTTCTTCCTCTTAATTTTTATTGTTGACTCTACCACAAATGTCCCCATTTTTCCTCTTTTGCCCCTCTCCTCCCAGCCTCTGCTCCCCCTGCCCTCTGGCTATCACCACACTGTTGTGTGCCCATGGGTTATACAGATACATTCTTTCTGTATTTTCCTTTAAGGACATCCCATGAACAATAGTTTATTGAAGGCTCAGAAGTCTTGAAGTAAATAAAACTGTTTAACTTATTTATCCCAGTATTTTCAGAACATAGTTGGTCATCGAAGCAATTAATCTTTTGTAAGCACACTTGAGATGTTTTCATGCACTTGTTTTGTGCAGTTTGCTATGTTTTCTGTATTTAGAGAATACTTCCAAGCATACAAAATAGAGAGTAACATTGTAAGAATGTAAGGGTTCCCATTGGGTCACTTTTGCTTCACTGGAAGTCTTTTTCATACGATCAAAGGGATATGATGTAGTGTCAAGTATGGTAAGTGCTATGAAGAAAATAAAGCAGAGTGACAGGGAGTGCGGAGAGAAGAGGTGCTCCTTGGATAGTAAGTTCCAGGTGTTCGCCGATGCAGAGACTTAAATAGGGAGTGAGCCAGGTGAGGAGCATTTTACGTGGTGGGAACAGTGAGGACAAAGGCCCTGAGACCTGAGATGCGAGTATATTTCACAGATTTGAGTTAGTAAGGAGGCTATCATGTTGGATTGCTTTGAGCAAGAAGGAAAGCAATAGAATATGAGGTCGGAAAAGTAGCCAGAGCACCATAAGGACTTTGACGCATTCTTCTTGAGGCTAAGGCTGTCTCTGGGTAACACTGAAGACCCTCCTTTCCAAGTTCTTCTCACCCACCACTTAGAGTGCCATCTTGGAAACAGAATGACACAGGTAATCAAAGGGACTGCTTCCAGAAAGTAGTGGGAGAACTTGTTCCTACACAGTGGTGTCAGGGCACTCAATGGCATGGCATATGTCACTGGTCACAGGCCCCAGTCAGCTTGGGAATGGGAATTCTGAAGGGACAGAGCCTTCCCTGGGCAGCAGGGAAGAGCACAGCACAGTGCTCATTTCCACCTGTGTTCCGTGGCTGAAGTTTCCTTTAGCTACAAGATGGGACCCCTTCTGACTTTGCTCTGCCTGGCTAGAGATGTGCATACCAGTGATTTCATTCTTTTTAAACACCATCCATATTTTGAGGTACATTAGTGACTGCATATCTTCCCACTCAATAGTGAGTGTTTCAGTTAGCCCATCCATTTATTCACTTTGACTTTTAAGTGTGTTTCTAAGTTAGATCTGAACTAGCTTCTCAGTGAAAGGCTGCTGAGATTCTTGGCAGTCGGGAGGGTTAAGTAGTGTCTACTACCTACGTGCAATTGGTGAGTGAAACAGTCCTAATGGGATCTACTGTTCCCATTTCCTCTCGGTGCATTTGCTCTGAATCTTCTGCTGGAGGAGATAAGGGAAGCATAAGTGGTTCGTACGGGATTATCCTCAACTGAACGATGCCATGTGCCTTTTTAATATAGCTTCTTCATTTAGAGGGGAATAAAGGGTGGCGACATCCGGCGCTGACATAAGCCACGCCAGGTGCCAGGGCCGACTCCACTACCACGGCTGGCTCGGGGGCTGCTCCCTGCCCCTCGCCCTTGACTTTACACCTGTCTCTCTCAAAGCAGATGCTCCATTCATTGGACTTTTTCTGATATAGAAAAGTTACATTCTTCAGGTTAGTTGTTAAAAATGTAGTCTTTTTTTCTTTGAATTCCAGCACCAGTTTTGACTCAGAATGTGGTCCTTCTAGTCACTTGCCATGTACTCTGGAGACAGTCCAGCCATAAAGCATCATCACATATTCAGCCACCAAGACACTACATTGACTTACTCAAGATCTAGAAATATAATAATAGCTCTGTGGATTAGTGCGTAAGTGCCTACTCATGTAGAAATGGAAAATTTTAGGCAAGAACTCCTAGTGATTTACCCTTCTTTAGAGAACAGTGAGTCACAACATTTGAACTATGGCGACTGCTGTTTGATTTTGAACCACTTACTCATTCCTCTATGCCCACCCTCCCCTAACATGCTGGACAAAAGTATAGTTTGAGTTTATAATTAAAGCTAACTATAAGTAATTTTGTTTTGAGGCAACTTTCTAGGGTGTGCAATGCCACGGTTGAGAGTCATTCCCCTCCCCCAGCTAGCCTCTGAAAACCACCTGGAGGGGCTCAGACAGTCTTACTTACATCCTGCGTGTACTCAGGCTTTGGAGGTGTCCATAGGTGAAGAAATCCCCTGATTAAGACTTCTCGTAAAGCTTCCCTCTCCTTCCCTCTCTCATCAGCTTTTTCTGACTCTAATTTCTCTCATTCAGCTTTCTCACTACAAACAAATTGTCTCCAGTGCTGTTGAGATTCCAGGAAGACTGCCAGGGTCTAAGGCCTTCAATTCCATAAAAAGGAAAGATATTATCAAAAACTGTATGCACATGCACACACAGTCTCCCTCACCCATTCACATGCCTAGTCACTAAGCTGTCCCCCTTCCCACAAATAGCCCCAAGAGACACAAAATTTCTGTGTCAATCACTCCTCCTCCCCTTCCTCTCTTCTTCCTTCCCCCACCTTCATTTCTTGGCACAAACCGTCATTTCTAGCACATACCAAATCACATCAGTGTGCTGCCCGTGCCCAAAGGACTCGTGGCTTCCTCTGCGCTCTCTGTTCCTCCCCTTGCAAGCCCGGGTGATTAATTGGAGGCCCACATAGGTTACAGTGTTGGGCAGTTCCTCCCAGTGACAGCACACAGGGAGGCAGAACGAGGCCCAAATATGGCTCTTTTCACCCACCCTTCCAAAAACCAAACATCTTGCACCAGAGTACATTTATAAGCTGAGTCCTGTGCCTCAGCCTACTCAATGTTAACAGCTCAGCTTTGCCTTCCTCTCTTCCAGCTCCTCTACCAGTGACCTCTCCAACTATGACCATGCGTACCTGAGGCGGAGCCCTGACCAGTGCAGCTCCCAGGGGAGCATGGAGAGTCTGGGGCCCAGTGGGGCGTACCCACCCTGCCACCTTCTCTCCCCGGCCAAGTCCACCAGCAGCATCGACCAGCTCGGCCACCTCCACAACAAGAGAGACTCGGCTTACAGCTCCTTCTCCACCAGTTCTAGCATCCTAGAGTATCCGCCCCCTGGCACCTCGGGCCGGGAGCGTTCAGGCTCCATGGATACCACTTCTGCTCGAGGTGGCCTCCCTGAAGGGATGCGGCAGGCAGACATTCGCTATGTCAAGACAGTCTACGATCCCCAGAGGGGCGTCTCAGCAGAGTATGAGGTGAACTCTTCAGCGCTGCTTCTCCAAGGTAGGGAGGCCCGCGCTGCAGCAGATGGCCAGGGCTGCAATAAAGGGCACAGCGCTCCTCGGGGCAAGGGAGCGCCACCCCCACCCTGGAGCCAACCGTGCCCCAGTCCCTTGGAGACCGCCATTGACTTGCCTCTTAAAGCGGGCGCGCCTCTGCCGCCAGCTCGGAGTGACAGTTATGCAGCCTTTCGGCACAGAGAGCGGCCCAACTCTTGGTCTAGTGTTGATCAGAAACGGCTGTGCCGGCCTCAGGCAAACTCTTCCGGCTGCCTGAAAGCTCCCTTCGTGGAGGAACAGCTGCACACTGTGCTAGAGAAGAGTCCAGAGAGCAGCCCCCCAGTGAAGCCCAAGCATAATTACACTCAGAAGGCCCAGCCGGGCCAACCTCTGCTGCCCACCGGCATCTACCCCGTGCCTTCCCTGGAGCCGCACTTCGCCCAGGTGCCCCCGCCCTCTGCAAGTAGTAACGGCACGCTTTACCCCGCGCTGGCCAAGGAGAGTGGTTACGCGACTCCTCGGGGAGCCTGTGACAAGGTGGCTACCCTGGATGAGAATGGAAACCAAAATGGATCTAGCAGACCTGGGTTTGCCTTCTACCAGCCCCTAGAACATGACTCTTTGTCCCCAGTAGAGCGAACACCTGAAATTTCAGCCAAATGTGTCCCCTACAAAGTCCATTTCCTGTCTGTGCCTGAACATGAGGAGGATACCTCCCTGAAGAAGCACATCACACCTCTCCAAGGCAACAGCCCGTATCCCAGTGAGAGAAAGAGCACCCACAACAACAAATCATCTTCTAATTACCACAGCCGCCAATCCCCGCAGGGTCAGGCCTGGCAAATGGGTGAAGACAAGAGATCTCCCAGGCCCTCAGAGCCTTGGGAGGATGATTTCCAGGAAGACCACAATGCCAACCTCCGGTGGGGGCTGGAGAGAGAAGGCCTAAGTCAGAGCCCGTCAAGCTACTTTGGGAAAACCAAGTCAGCCTTCTCTTCTCTTCAGAACATTCCTGACAGTCTAAGAAGGCAAAGCAGCCTAGAGCTAGGAGGGAGAGTCCAGGAGGGCCCCCCCAATGGCTGCCCCACCTGTGTAGTCAACACCAAGGCAGAGGACTCTGGAAGGAAACCTGTTCCAGACCACCGGAGACATCTGGACAGGCCGGTTTCTTATCCAAGGCCTGAGGGGAGAGTCAGTGCTTTGGGCTCCTTCCACCTTTCAGACCCAAGGTACGAAGAGCCGCCCTCCCCGCCCCACCAGCAGACATCCAGTCTGGGCCGGAGGAGGCTCAGCTCCAGCGGCGCTTCAGCTCTGCAGGGCGTTCAGTACGGGAAGCCCCACTGCTCCGTGCTGGAGAAGGTTTCTGAGATTGAGCAGAGGGAGCAAGGGCGCCAGAGACCCCCAAGTGTGGGCAGCTCCGTTTATGGCTACAACTACAGGCCCAACAAGATAGTCTCAACTTCTGGTACTTCCAGGAATGACTTCGAGGAGACAAAAGCTAATAGCCGTTTTTGCGAATCCACTGAGTCCCTAGGCAATGGAGAACACCACTTCAAAAACGGGGAGCCGAAGCTGGAAGAGGTTTCCCGGCAGCCTTGTGGTCAACAGCTGAAGAGGGGCGCCGAGGGCAGCCGAGGCTCCCCACGCCGAAGCAGCGAGCCCCCGGGCCGGGACGCACGCCTGCTCCGCAGCCAGAGCACCTTTCAGCTCTTCAGCGAGGCCGAGGAGGATGTCAAGTGGCGGGACAACAGGCCGAACACACCCGAATCGCCAGTGCTGGACGCCCCCTTCAGTCGCGCCTACCGGAACAGCATCAAGGACGCGCAATCCCGCGTCCTGGGGGCCACCTCCTTCCGACGTCGAGACCTCGAGCCTGGGGCGGCTGGGGCTTCCAGGCCCTGGCGCCCACGACCAGCCTCGGCCCACGTGGGGCTGCGGAGCCCAGAGGCCCCAGCAGCCGCCTCCCCGCACACCCCACGGGAGCGGCACAGCGTGACCCCTGCCGAGGGCGACCTGGCCCGGCCTGTGCCCGCTGTTGCCCGCAGGGGACCCCGCCGGCGCCTGACCTCCGAGCAGAAGAAGCGCTCCTACTCAGAGCCTGAGAAGATGAACGAGGTGGGGGTCTCGGAGGAAGCCGAGCAGGCACCTCTGGGTCCTCAACGGAAGGGACTTCGTTTCCCGGAGAGCACGGTGGCTGACCGGCGCCGCATCTTCGAACGGGACGGCAAGGCCTGCTCCACGCTCAGTCTATCAGGGCCTGAGCTGAAGCAGTTCCAGCAGAGCGCCCTGGCCGACTACATCCAGCGCAAGACCGGCCAGCGGCCCGCCTCCACCACCGGGGGCGGCCTCCAGGAGCCGGGGCCACCGTGGGAGCGTGCGCACGGCCCCCACCTCCCGTCCGGCCCCGCAGCGCCCGAAGGCCCTGGGCTCACCTCAGCTCCCAGCCTCTGCTCGCTGCGGGAGCCGAGCCTGCAGCCCCGCAGAGAGGCCACCCTCCAGCCGCCATCGGGGGGTAGTGGGGAACTCCTACGTGGGGCCCGAGATCGCAGTAGCTCCTTTGCTGGAGGCCGCCTCCTCGCAGAAAGGCGACGTGGGGACCAAGCCCCAAGGGAGCTGCTCAGCGGAACTAACAGCAGTGGACCAAAGGGCACCCCAAAGGTGGACAGGACCCCTGGGGAGTCCTCCTCGTGGGGGGCCGCAGCCAGGAGAGCCGGGAAGTCCATGTCGGCTGAAGACCTGCTAGAGCGCTCCGATATCCTGGTGGTCCCTGTCCACGTGAGGTCACGGTCGTCACCCACCACACACAAGAAGCGCCAGGTAGGTGCTGCCAGCAGGTCCTAGGCCCGTCCTTTGGGTCCTGGAAGCTGTATTGCCACTCTCCTATCCCCTCCTCCCCCTTCATGTTCCTTTGACATGCCGAAGAGTAGTACTTGTTTTCCAGATTCATTCTTTCTCAGTTCCCCTATCTGATAACCTTACAGAGAGAGATAAATATAGATATTCATATAGTTGTGTAGATGTCTTAAATAGATATCTATGTTCTATATAGATATCTTTATATGTTTGTGTGTACGTGGTTATATGTATATGTGTGTCTGTAAAATATATACATATTATATATAATTACTTCATTTTAGGAAGTCACCTCTCAGTGCAAGAGTACATGGTTAGGAAAGGTTAGGTATTATATTTTTTGTTTGTTCTTTGCTTTTTTTTTTTTTTTGTCTTTTTTTTTTACTTCAAGGAATAGAGCTGTCTCAGAGTTTTAAATTTTTTAGCTTTGTGCCCTCTATGTTTCTGTTGGACTTTTGCATTTATAAAATAGACTCATTGACTTTGAAATGTTATTGAGTCTCAGGCCCTCAGCGAAGTGTACTTTGCATTTATTATCTCATTAATCCTCAATAATCCTCTGCAATAGAGTATATTAATCCATATCAAATGCATGTCTCCCTGACCCCTATTTGAGCTCTTTCTGTGCACTACCCTGGTGAGAAAGGAGAAGCACAGACATTAAAAATCTCACGTAAAAGGATTTCCTAATAAAGGCTCCAAAACTATGCAAAGATTGTGAAGGGCCTTCTGCTGGAAATTTCAGGCAGAGCTAGGGATAGAACCTGAGCACCCGGCCTCCCAGGGCTCTTATTAATTTCCCTAACTCTTAGTCCATCCTCAAGTTCCACACTGGACTGCAGATCAATGGCCTCCCTCGTGGTTCCCTTCCCACCTGAGGAGATAGTAGGAATTAGGAGACACTACTCATCCATCGCCCCTTCTCATATTTTGTTTTCCCTGGCAGAGAAGTCAGTCTTTTCCGCAAGTGTTTGTACAGGATATTGGTATGGAAAACACTGTGTTACAGGGTTAAAGGAAAGTAAGTCTCATGTCTTTCTGGGATTCACAGCTGAGCAAGGAATATGTTCTTAAATGTAAATAACCAGCAGGACTGGTGAATGCTTTGGAGCAGTGTTAAATAATGTGCTATGGAGGGAAAGTGACAAATTCTAACTGAGGGGAATCTCAACTTTTCTTGAGGGAAGTGGGATTTGACCCAGGCTGTAGAAAATGGGTAGGACGTTGACAAAGGATTGGGGGTTGTATGTCAGAGGCACTATTTGGAGGAAACAGGCTTCAGACAAAGAAAGATTCAGTCCTTATTGCCTGAGAAGTTTGTTTATAGCACTGCTTCTGAAATAGAGATACACACAGCCTTCTGAGAGAAAATACTGTGCCCTCCCAGATATTTCCTGTTCAGGAATATTCAGAAATAGTTTCTTCCCCGTATAAACTCAGGCACACACAAAACTCTATAGAGACAATCTCTGTAGGACCACAGTAGCCATTTTCCATTCATTAGCCATTCTCAGAACAAACACAGATGATTTCCACTCTTTAGCCACTAAAACACTTGTATGTATTTATTTTTTTATTGATCTTAGAGAGAAAGGAAGGAAGCGGGGGAGAGAGAGAGAGACAGGCAGACAGACATTGGTTTGTTGTTCCACTTACCCATGCATTCATTGGTTGTTCCTTGCATGTTCCCCGACCAGGGACCAAACCTGCAACCGTGACACATCAGGATGACGCTCTAACCAACTGCTGAGCTACCAGGCCAGGACACTGTAATACTTTTAAATCCATATGTGCAACATGCAGTTGCAGCTAGTTTGATGGGCTTTAGTTACTTAGTGCACAGCAGAACAAACATTTTCTTCATTTTGCTCCCCATGGTCTAAAGAAAGCAGAGATGCTAAGGCTAAAACTGGATCCTCTTCTGTTTCTTATCCCCCACTAGATGTCATTATTCTCTTAGGGAATCCGTCGGACACAAATATTATTTCGCTTTCCCGCAGCAAAATATGTCTGAACACTGGTAAACTGGGAAATAGAGCTAAAACGTAGGTAGTGTGGATTCCTCCAAGCCCAATCACACACTTTATATTATTTGAAAAGCTTTTTAGAAAGGCAAGTAAATACAAAACATCCTTTAGGCACCCTCGTCAATGAAGAAGTTACCATGTTTAGGTACTATTTAACTTGGGGAATATTACACCAGAGGAGGAAAATACTTCAGAATGAAATACTTCATCTGGGCCTCTCTGCTCCTACCAATTCTGAACCTAGGGCACCACCCCGCAGATTGTAACTCTGCCAGGATTGTGTTCTCAAGCTTCCTTCTCCCATTCCCCTGCCCAGCAACCTTGCCTGCCCTGGGTCCAGATCCATAGTCTTCATACAACCATCATCTACCTTACGTGTAGAACTAGTAAAACAAAACAAAACTAGTCTCACCACATAATTCCTATGGTTATTTCAAACTATTACATTCTTTTCTTTTATTTGAAAAAAATCCAGGAACTTTACCATTATCCTAAAGCTTTGGTGCGGGTGTTCAATAAGAAGTTTTCTTTTCTCAGCTTTAAAGAACTCCATGAAATTAAGTGACCCTGTAGAGACCGTCTGCTTGAGTTAAACCCCACATCCGTGCCTATTTCTGGTGCGGGCTCAGTCCATGACAGCCTGAGTACATGCCACTGGCTCCCGACAGCCAGATGCTGACAGGGCAGGATTTTACAAGCTTTGGACAAGGATTCAGCTCCTTTGCAAAAGTTCTTAAGTGAAGGCAGTTTTTGCCTCCAAAACAAGGTCAGCATAGAAATCAGTTACTCTGTTTATGAACATGGATTCTTGGACCTGAGGTAATGGCTGCAGGAGGCTGCCTCCGCGCACTCCTGGGCCAGCGCTGCTCCGCCGCCACCGCCGCGGTCCCGTCTGAAACGTACAGCCTCCCATTACCTGTCCTTTCATTTCTGTTCATTTCAAAGGTGTAATTGCAGAACAAATGGATATTAATGATGGAGTAGAAGGGCACAACACATTCTTCCCTACGTCCTATTTTTTAGAGACTTTTTAAGTAACTGGTTCCTGCAGAAAAATATTCAAACGTTTCTGCCTTTGAGATGGAAATTTACACCTCTTCACTGCATAGCCTATAAAAATAAACTTGTGAAGAAATAAGATTCCTGGTGGGGAATCTTTTCCCCAGATGCTGAGTTAGAGGCTTCTCTGGTTCTCATTGTATTTTCAGAGACATTGCTTTCTGGTATATAACACGTTCACCTTGTGATGGTGTGCCAAACATTTAATTGCTGAGGAAATTGCTCAATGCATGGAACCTCGGTGTTGGGTGTTGGATTTTGGAGAATGCAACTTGTAAATCATTTTTAGCACCTCTCAACAAGCACCCATTCAAGCTTGGGGATAAATAACAGAATCAACTTTTCACCAAATGTAAAATTACATATAACTACCAATAATCAAATGTGTACTGTGTGCTAGTCATTGTACTAATTTTTATAAGCATAAAATTAATTCTCATATCTATTCAAAGAGGTGGATACAATTATTATCTCTATATTACTGATAAGGGAAAGGGTAAGAAATTTTCCCAAGGTGGTGGGAGCAAGGTTTTGACCCCATACTCTCTGACTCCAGAGTCTTCGGGTCAGTATACCATCTGCCTTCTTGGAGGCGGCAAGGGGAAGGCTGGGAGACAGAGAAGGAGATGAGAGTTAAACATCTTCTATGTAAAACTTCAGCCAATGAATTTCATTTTAACATTTATTCACCTTTTGAATACCATTTTAAGATTTTTTTCAGATAGATTTCTAATTCATTTTAGCAGATACTTAAAACTGATACTCCAAAGTAGATGAATATTATCTTCATATTTCATTGGTCACAGAGATATTAGGATTTCTAACTCACAACTCAGAGAACTGGGATTCGACAGGCTTTAGGTCTGTAGTTTTAAGTATGCTATACCTATTGAAGACTAAAAACTGGTCAGTCAGTCATCAGAAGTCAGAGATAATTAACAAAAACAAACTGACATTTACCAAGTATCTGTTGGTATAACTCTTTATCTGGTATTCCTTCCTAGTTACTGCTTTGCTCTAAAATACCCTATAAGTACTATGTACTTATTAGCAGCTTACAGAAAAACAAGTCGTCTTTGACAGTGAACATACGCCTAATCAAAGCGAGTAAATACAACAAATTTACCCTCCTGGCTTTTACTAGCTTGGGAAGGCATTTTGCTTGTATCCAAATGGTATTTTCATTGACAGGAGATTTAAGAGTTTTCTCAGTAGCCTATTACTGGGTCCAACGTCCTTTATTTTACACTCTCACATAAATATCAGCTTATGCTCATACTGTAATTCAGAAGAAATAACAGGATGAAAAACTATATTTAAAAGGTATACAGGATTTGGAGCTTAAAGGTGACCTAGAGGCTTTCCCAATTAGTTATTGGCAAAGCTGCATATTTATGTCGACAGAGGGGCTGCAGTGGGGAAAGACTTTAAAAGGACCATAAGGTTTCATGGAGAGCAGGAGTTCCCATTCTCTAGTGATAATTGAGCAAATTGGAGACATGGAATCCCCTTTTCTCAAAGCAGTGACGTCTGATTGCATCCATCTCAACTGCCACTCACCTTTTTAAAATTCCAAAGAAAGATCCATGTTTTGAAGAGATCATGGCCCTCTACTTACTTAACTGTGTGGGTGGGTAAAATACTTAACCTTTCTGAGCTGCAATTACCTCTCCTCTCCCCACTGTTATTGATTAAATTACAGAAGAAATGTCATGTGCCTAACACAACTCCAGGCACATAACTTGAGGATTATAAGGAATTTAATAGAGTGTCTGGCACACAGTAAATTCCTGGAAAGGGATAGCTGCAATTCCTAATAATATTCAGGTGTTTGTTTTTTCTTTGTGCCTACTGCCTTGGTTCTTTTATTGCTTATTAGTACCTGTACCACTGATTGGGAGAAAAAAAGAAAAAAAAAGGTAGAAAGCAATTAGCTCTTTGGAAGGATTAAGTGATTAAATAATTGCTGAAATTAAGTTTAGATATAATGTATGCATTTAATTTGTTTGCTACCTGTCTCCTAGTATCATAAATAATTGAAAGTTAAATGGTTTATCATCAGTAGCAACATAGTCTTCATCAGGGACTTATTCACATGGGCCATGTCTTATGACTTATACTATAAAAAACTGACCTAGGACCCTTTCAGGAAACCAAAAACACCCTTATTAAGAACTAAAAGGAACAAGAAATGACTACCCATAAAAGGCCCAGAAATATTGACGTTAAGTATGGGTGAAATATTTTCCCCAGAGAGAACATATTTCAACCTGCTTACACACTAGATTGATATCTTCTGGAATTACAACTCAGAACATTTGAGATTTTTGCTAAATTCCATACCCTATCCTTTCATCTCCCATATTTCCCTATTGCTCTTTCAAAAGGTTAACCTTTCGAATTAATGTTCATCATTATATTTCAAGGATAGCATTTGTTTTGAACCTTGGAGATGATTATCAGATTTCTCTTGCTTAGAAAATGCCCTTGTTAGGAGAGGCAGCTGGTGAGACAGACTGAGGTTGCCATCCCAGCCCCGCCACCTGTGACGCCTGGAAGGGCGGCCTCTTTGGGCCTGCTTCCTCACCCACGCGGTGGGATTAGCACTACTTCCGGTGGGATTAGCACTACTTCCGGTGGGATTAGCACTACTTCCGGGGCTTTGAGGCTGAGATGGGGTAACAGGGAAGAGTGTCGCCACGGTGCCTGACGATAAACAGTAGGCCTCCAATAACTGTTCTTGCTCCTTTCTGCCTCCGCTCCCTTGGTAAATTTGTTGGTAATAATGCTGTGCCTTTCTTGTGTTTTAGGATGTGCTTTTGGGGGAAAGCAATGGCTTTGGTCTTGTGAGGGATCCATGTCACTTGGCTAGCCCTGGATCCAGGTATGTATATGTGTGTCTGATGTGTCTGCCTTATGGATGCGGCTGGAGTTCAGTGCTTCTCTGCCTTTGTACAAGAAACTGATGTGATACTACGATGTTTCACTGGGTCATATGCTGCCTTTTCCATTTGTCTAGGCTGTGGGGAACATTTTTATTTATAGATGACTGTTTCTAAGAATGAACTTAATTCAAAATAGGTTTTGAATGCGTGCTGTCAAGGCAGTGTTTGACTTCTAATAAGTTTAGCATCAGAATAGTTCATGGGCACGCTCTTCCCAAGCTTCTCGCTCTCACACATGGGGTCTCTTGTGTGGCTGATCTGTTCCAGTTCTGCACACAAAGGATCATGTCTGGTGAGTAAAGTGCTTGGAGAAGAGTGAGCATTTCAGGAACAGCTTCATGTGGTAATACAAACTCACGGGAAGCACCTGAAGTAAAAAAATAAAGCTCCAAAATCATAATTTCTAGGCACTTCAGGATAGAAAATAATAGAGATGTCATTTTAAAAATCACCATCACAATCATTTCTCCTAGGTAGAAAAATAATATAATGGACAATTCTTTACAATTTGAATTTTTGAACAATTCACATTGAGCTGAATAAGTAGAAAATTCCAAAGAGTTTTCTCTGAACCACAAGCCTGTTTATAGTTATAGTGCAGCATCATAGGGCTATCTACCATAATCTATTTACTAATGAAAGTATATTTAAACCCTCCCTACTACCTTCCACGTTTTTCAAGCCAGTTCCCTAATTTTTCTTACACTTCATTCAATCATTGTTTGCCTCTTTTTCTTGATTCACCTTCACAATAATTCAACCCGAGACCGTCACTTAGAAACAGCCAATGTGGTCAGGAAGTGGGTGTTAAGTTACCTTCTTCACTGCCAAGAAAACAGCCTTCCACAGTTACATGTTCCTGCGTCTGTAGCTGGGGCTGAAGTGAAGAAAGTATTCAAGGTGAGGCTGAGGACTTTGGGTAGTTTGGGTGCACTAACTAAAAGCTAGAGACAAAGGAAAACTTAGAGTGAACTAGAGCACTGCCCAAAGAGAACTGGTCTAAAGTCAAAGGGGACACTAAACTCAACCACAAAAAAATCAAATAGCTCAATTACAGGAAGGACTTGACTAGACCTTTCCCGAAGATGATAGTCAGATGGCCAAAAAGTATATAAAAAGATGTCCCAGATCACTAATCATCAGAGAAATAATAATCGCACCTCACACCCATTAGGATCATTAAGATAACTGTTATTTAAAAAATAAATAAAAGAACAAGTGTTGGTGATAATGTGGACAAATTGGAATACTTGTGCACCATTGGGATTGTAAAATACTACAACTGCTATGGAAAACAGTATGAAGACTCCTCCAAAAATTAAAAATAGATCTACCATATGACCCAGCAGTCCCACTTCTGACTGTATATCTGAAAGAGTTGAAAGCAGTGTTTTGAAGAGATATTTTCATGCCTATGTTTCTAGCAGCACTATTCTCAATAGCAAAGAAGTGGAAGCAACCAACCCAAATGTCTACCAATGGAGAGAAGCTAAACAAAATGTAGTATATACATTAGCAGTGTTATTCAACCTTAAAAAGAAAGGAAGTGCTGGCACTTGCTACAATGTGGATGAACCTTAAAGATATTATGCTAAAAGAAATAAGCCAGAATATGTCACAAAAAGACATATTCGAAGACTCCATTTATATGAGGTTTCTAAAGTAGTCAAATTTATAGAAACAAAGTAGAATGGTTGTTGACAGGGCTGAGGGAGAGGGAAAAGAGGAGTTGTTACTTAATAGGCAGAGTTTCGGATTTGCAAGACAAAAAAGTTCTGGAGCTCTGTTTCACAGTGACGTCAATATATTTAATACTACTGAACCAAACACTTTAAAATGGTTAAAGTGGTAAGTTTTATGTTATGTGGTTTTTACCACATGAAAAGAGAGCTAGGAAGGGAAAAAATGAGACTGATTGCTCTCAAACACCATTCTTAAATATTGAGATTCCTGGATATATATCAACAGATGCTTGCCTCTCACACACTATTGTAAAAGAGACTCAAACAAAACCTTTTTTATCCTATTCTCTGTTCTTGAGAAAACACAAAACAATCACCAAGAAGAAGCATTCTTAACCAAGCTAAGCGAGCATTTAACGCAAATATTACCTTCAAACATAGATGTATATAGTTTAAGTATGGTTCCTGTAAACTAAGAAGATTAAACAAACTAAAAACATCATTTCAAGGTTTACTGGGCTGGATCTTAAAGCATAAGCGCTATAGTCTTTTACTGTTTGCTTTAGTGATGTCTTCCCTAGAAAGCCTCAAGTACAGCGTAAGGAAAAGGAAGGTACCTGAATTAGTCATAAGAACATCAGATTCCATTTTACTCTGTGTCCTATTAGAGGGTGCAAAGTTTAAAAACAGTTCATATTATACAGTTTGAAGAGAAGTTGGGTAGCAGAGACATTGTTCAACAGACACTTACTAAGAGTGTACTTAGTATCAGGGATGCCACGACAAATAAGATACACAAAGGGCTCCCCTGGCGAACCTCCTGCCTCTGGGCTTCTCTTTTACACATTTGGGAACCCTACAAGAGGCACAGAGCAGCCGCTCCTAGATATTGAGACGGTCCTGGTAGAAACAAAAAATAAAAAACAGAACCACCTCAAAACGAAGAGGATCCTGATGGAAGGGGCGAGGTTGCATCTGAGTGCCGGGGGGCCCTTATTCAGCTGTCTGCATGTGTAATAAAGAAAAATAACAGCACAAGAAGGGCCAATTTGGTCTTTGCCATCTTTCCCTTCAGTGTGCAGCACTCTCCCTGCCGGCAGGCACTTAGACAATTTTGTGGCAGGCCTGTGCTGGGCCTCTGACTTGGGACTGAGCCACGCTCCCCATAGACTTGGATCTGCAAAATGAAAGGTGCCATCTGCTCTCCAGATTCACTCGTGTACCAGTCAGGAACTTAAATTATAGTTTGCTGGAGATATCCTTTCTCCTTATATCAAGTCCTGCATGGCTGGCTGGCTGGCTGGCTGGCTGGCAGTGCGGCAGATTCCTATTTTCTTTGTTTTGTCCCCGCCCCCGCACCCCTGCCCTGGCTTTAGAACACAATAGCAAAAATACTAGAAATTGCTGGGGCTTTCCTTGGAGACTAGATAGGGGACATTTGTTTAAATCACCCTATTTGTTCATTATTGTCAATCTCTTTCTGCAGAAGTAAATGCTTATTAGCACCTTAGGTGAGACCTTGCCCTCCTTTTTACATTCCATTGTAAGAAATGATAACACCAGGAGGCTAAGAGAAAGTTGTAAATGAAACCTTCAAATTCAACAGCCCGCACAGATGCTCTCCAAACAGGAACCCCCCCACCGCCACCCCAGCAGCGGCACTGGGATTGCACTGGGAGAGAAGGAGGCAGCATTCTTTCTCTTTCCCCAGAGTCAGGGGCTGTTTCCAAAGTCGTCCTAAAAGAAGCTGAAGAAATGTACCTACTTGTTTCTTTCCTTTTATAACCTGAAGCCGGTCCTCAAAAGCCACCTTATGTGAGCCGTGGGGGTGGGAGGAGGGGGCAGTGAGAGAAGGCTAATAAAAGCAAACGCCGTGTGACATTTTCCCGTAGGAGGTTTTGCCTGTCTGGTATTTTACTTAAACTCAGTCCTTTGTACGAACAGCTGGTGGCAGAGGGAGAGGGTGTGTAGCCTCTCTGGGGGTCCTTCTCCCTGTCAAATGCTTCTCCCTTCTGTGTACTGAACCTGGGGCTCAGCGGCTCCATGTTTGCCCCTTTCATCGGAGCTGTAATGCTTGTGCTTGTCTCTTGCTCTAGGTCACTCGGTTGTTCAGAAAGAGGTGGAAAAGAGATGCTACTGCTCAACCACCACCCCATCCCCAGTCCGGGCGGTTCAGGCTGCAAAGCGGTCGGTGCCTCGGTTCCCAGTGAATGTCCTGAACTGCTGGATCACGCGAGGCAGGCCGGCAGAGTGCCCCTCCCCAGGCCACTGCCTGCAGGGCTGCAAGGGCATCTCACAGACGCCAGGGCTGTGCCCCTGACCCCAGGCAGCTCAGCTCTGCCTTCCCCTGTCCCCTCCAGCTCCTGTGTACAGGCTGCCGGTGATCAGCCCTACCCCCCAGCAGTGACGCACAGAAGCAACGGCCACAGCCTGGCCCAGCCTCCCAGTCCTAGGGGCCATGAGCCCCACAGCCCAGAGCAGGGGGCGGAAGAGGGGATGAGGAAGCGGCCTCCCCCACCCCGGGTGAAGTGGGCCCACGCCGTCAGAGAGAACAGCTTCCCCGAGGAATCTCCCTCCCTCGAGCTGGCAAACCTGAAGCACTACAAGAAACAGCAGAATCTTCCGAGTTCAAGCAGCACTTCCGACCCAGACACACCTCTTGGGGTCCCAAGCACCCCAGGGAGGATCTCCCTCCGAATATCTGAGTCAGTCCTGCAGGCCTCCCCACCGCCTCGGGAGGACTATGACGACGAAGTGTTTATGAAGGACTTGCAACCCCATGCCACTTCCAGCCCCACATTTGAAGCTCTTCCCCCACCTCCACCGCCTCCACCGAGCCAGGAAACCCTGGTCAATAGTTCAGACGACTTTCCCCCACCTCCTCCCCAAGCTCTGTGTGAGGCACAGCCGGACAGTGAGGATTACAAGGAGCTTCATACCAGGTGAGTGCGCAGGTCGGGTAGGAGGAAAGGGTTTCCCTCGCTAGTAAGAGATTTTCGTGCTCCAGGCATCCCAGACTCGCCTCCTGTTGGCCACAGGAGAGCCCTGGTGTGGACGTGTTTTATACAAGCTTAGCTCATGGAAATGGCAGATTGTTTCATTTGTTTATCTTTGGTGGTCATTATACTAGTGGTCACTGGGCAGCAAGGAGAGAGAGTAGCGAAAGTGGGGGCCAACACCCAAGAGGCCTAGGTTACTTCCGTGGACGTGGTAAATTCAAAGCGCCCAAAGAAATAGCATTCTTCCTTTCTGCCCGAGTTCTAAATCAGTTTAGGGATGAGAGAACAGAGGAAGGCATACAGAAGACAAAAATATCACTTATATTACTGACAGAGCTGATACTGGAGAATATGGCTTCCATATGAGTGTTCAGTGGGCTTCCTGATACTGAGCCCCAAATTATAAATAGGTTTACCTGTCTAATCACAGGCCATGCTAGACATCCACACATACATACATATATGGAGAGAGAGGGAGAACATGAGAGTAGGCCTAGAGGCAGCCTTCCTCTTAGAAGAGCTGGACTATGAATGTGCTGATTAGCTTCTCGTTCCAAAGGCACACCATGTCCATAGCAAGCAATAAAGAGGAGAGCTAAAGGTGAATAATGTTTAGGGAAAACCTGTTCTTGGAAGCCAGAAGAATGGGGAAGAAGCACTTTTCACAACATACTCTCTAGGACACGTAATCTTTCACGACACCAAAAAGACTCACACTGGCTGCTCTCACCTTTGTGGTAACTCCCTCTAGATATTGGAGTGATTTGCTGCTGCCCTCTGATCACTAAACTTGAATTTGTACTCGCTTCATGCCCCTTAAAAAATCACACAACCTCCCTGTGACCAACCAGTGGGCTCAGATGAAGAAGACCCTTTAGGATGCTGCTATTTTTACTTTTTTAGATTTTTTATCTATTTATTTTTAAAGAGAAGGGAAAGGAGGGAGAAAGAAACGTTATCAGTTGCCCCTCACATGCCTCCATCCAGGGATCTGGCCTACAACCCAGGCATGTGCCCCCAACTGGAAAATCAGCTGGTGACCTTTCCACCTGTGGAATGATGCCCAACCCCCCGAACCACACCAGTCAGGGCAGGACGCTGCAGTTTGGGGGGAATAACAACGTCAGAAGTGTGACTACCCCACCCCGCTCTTGCTGAGGGAAGCTACAGCCCGTGTGGTGAAAACTTTTCACCCTCTCATCCTCACGCTTCTATTGACTATTTTCTTACCTCTCTCTCTCTTTTAATATTCAGTAGCTCCAGCAAATCTGCCAACATGACAGTTGCCAAGGAAAGGCCCATACCTGGCGCAGCCCATTTGGTTGGTAGTCACGTACTAGCTTCCAGATGCCAAACTTCTATCCAGGGTTCAGAAGCCAACGAGACCAGTCCGCTGTCTGCCATGGGGGCTCTGCCCCAGCATGCCGGGCCCCTCGCCTGGCAGCCAAGCCCAGGAAAGCCACCTCCCATCCTGACCCAAGGCGGCGACTATGATCTAATCAGCGGGGCTCAGGATTTAGAAAACAATGCCACTTCTGGTCCTCAGAAGACCTCAGATGACATCAGAACACAGGCTCTGGCCAAGGAAATTGTCCATCAAGACAAATCTCTGGCAGACATTTTGGATCCCGACTCCAGAATGAAGACAACTATGGACCTGATGGAAGGTTTGTTTCCCCGAGATGTTAACTTGCTGCAGGAAAACGGCATGAAGAAGAAGGCCATGCAGAGAACTGTCAGCTGCCCAGGATATGAAGGCAAGAGGTAAGTCCCTGGGAATGTCCTCAGACTTAGGAATGGACTCAATCTACGGGGTGATATGTTTGGGACTCCTTACCTGAAGTTTTCTGCTTCCAAAGATCCTGACCCAAGCCCCAGCCAGGTGACTCAGTCGGTTGGAGTGTCATCCCCAAGTACGAACCAGGTGCATGTTCGATCCCTGGTCAGGGTGCATATCTAGAAAGTAACTGGTCAATATTTCTCTCTCTCTCTCCCCCCTTTCTTCTCTGTCTAAAATCAATAAACATATCCTTGGGTGAGGATTTTATTTAAAAACATTTTTAAAAATCCAAGAGTGACAGTCCTTGTGAGCCGTAAGGGAATGGCTCTGAGGAGTAGGATGTGGGACCAACTGACCTTATCAGGTACTTGCCCAACAACAAAAACAACAATAGTAATGGTAATAATTGCCATTAGTACCTACTGTTCATTTTCTTTGTGTTAAACGTATTAATTTCTTTATATAAACATTATCTTTTTAATCTTCAAAAGAACCTTCAGAGATAGGTACCAATTTTATCTCTATTTTACAAGTGAGGAAACAAGCACAGAGAAATTAAGACCATGCCCACTTGGAGTCACAGACCATGTGAGTGATGGCATCTATATTTGAACTGGCCCTGTGACCATGCCCGCTCTCCTAAGGATTACACAGTGCCCCCAGCTCAGCAAGTGTGCGACCCCCCATTCTCTGTCAGAGTTACCTTGACAGAGAGCCCCACGGGGTCGGTGCTCAGACAGGAAGGAGCACGTAGGAGCGGCGAGCATGACAGAGACCTCCTTTGTTAAAAGGATGAGAGCCTGGAGACATGGATTTATTTACTGCACTGACCTACTTTGAAGAGTTGGGTGAATGTTTGCTCGTTTTCTGAGAATAAAGAGCGGTCTGCATGGGGGCACACTGGCACGGTTGTGTGTGGCCCTTGAGCCTCTGCCCCAGGAGTTCCCAGAGCCCACACGGCTACTGTCCTGTAACATGCGTTCCAGCGCCCAGCCACTGAGGGTGAAAGGACCGTGAGCGGTCTATTTTTCATTCTTTTGATTTCTCCTGGTGACTGCAATATTTTATCCTGTGTTTCATTTCCTTAAAGTACTACCATAGGAAAGATTTAGAATAGTTTTATTTTCCAGTGAAAACTGAATTGACAGATTGGAACTCCACACTGGAATGGCTTCCAGACTAAATAAAAACAGCATTCCATCTAAATTTGGACTTGCATTTTAGAAATTTCCAAATGATCCCAGCTAAATTACTAACAAGAATAGCATGTATTGCACTGGTCAGTGTGACCCAGTTCGTTGGAGCATTGCCCCATAACCAGAGGGTTGTGGGTTTGATTCCTGGTCAGGGCACATGCCTAGGTTGCGGGTTCAATCCCTGGTCCAGGTACATATGGGAGGCAACCAGTTGATGCTTCTCTTTTGCATCAATATTTCTCTTTTCTCTTTCTCTAAAATCAGTGAAAAAAATGTCCTTAGGTGAGGATGATAATAACAAAAAAAACCTCACAACATGTTTTGATTGGGGGAGTGGGAGAAAGTAAAGATACTTAGGAGCTCTTTGATATGGTATCAGCACCAGAGGCTTTTCTAATACAAGGTTTCGTCCATCCCGTTTTCCACACTTGGCAGAAACTAACTTGACAATGCAGGGTCATGCGCTTAGCAGACGTTTACTGAGCGCCTACAATATGCAAGGCAAACCACTGGTTACCAGGAGGGGCCCAAAGATGAGTTTCTGTGGGTGTGCCTATTAGTTCACCATGAATGTTTGTGGTAGGTCAAAGTGAGGGGCTTCTATTCACTTCATTCTGTTCTCTGACTGCTTGCTGCAGAGAGACCAAGGTAATTTGTAAGTACATCCTTAGCATGTCCTAGCATTATTATTGAGAACATATGATATGTTCTCAGTCAATTTAGAAGTGAAATGGTCATGCAGCTTTTGTAAGAGGAATTTCAAAGGATGGCATGCGCCCTCTTCTGGTGAAAATGAACATTGTTCTGTTGTGTGTGAGACTGCAAACATCTATTTAGTTATCAAATAAATGTATGAGAAGCCCATTTGTAATGTAATGAATGTATCAGGGGAGGGGAGATATATCAAAAAACCTTTTTCCTGTTGTTTCAATTAACTGGATTAAATGTAATTATATTGCTTTGAGGAACAGTCCCATCAAACAGGAGACTAGTACAAAAAAAAACAACAAACTTTTTTGTGGGGTTTTTTATTCCACAGTAAAATAATGGTCGAGATGTTAAATAATGTCACAGGATTGACTAGTTGAAAGACCTCTCCAAGAGAACCTAACCTGCTTCTCTAGAGTCATTTATTTTGTGGGTATTCTGAAAGGCAGTTTGGTTATAGTAAAACAGAGAACACTAAATAGCAGGTTTCTCAACTCCTCATTTGTTCTCCCGCCTTGAAAACCCTGCTGCATGATCAATGAGTAGATTTCACCTCTTACATTCATTGACCAGCAGGCTCCAGATTTCCCAGGTTTATATAGGATAGCAGGCTCACATGAGAAGGAAAATTGATAAATGTCCAAATAACAATTATAGTATGCATCAGAAAGATAATGGGTAACCCTGGAAGAGTAGGAAATAACCTAAAATCTGATATTTGTGCAACAGCTTTAAAATATGTTCCCATTGACTGAGTCATGGCTCGCCACTGTCTGTGAAATAGTCAATATCATTCTTATATTTACCACATTTATCATACTGCCTTTGGTGGTTTTCACCCCAAGTTTTTCTGGATTTGGGAGCCCTACACATGGTTATCACTCATTAGTAAGTATTTATTCATTCATGCTCATTTCTGAGAAGTAATTGAATAGGATTTTTACATCTCTAGAGAACCATGGTGAAATGAAGCTTCTGGTGTGTTCTGTGTGTGGCTATACTTTTTGTTCTTTGTGACCCAGGAGTGAAGATAAGGAAGCAGTGGGCATCCTGGTCAACTGCCCTGCCTACTACAGTGTGTCTGCTCCCAAGGCAGAACTGCTGAATAAGATCAAAGAGATGCCAGCAGAGATGAATGAGGAAGAGGAGCAGGTGGATGTCAACGAAAAGAAGGTAAAGAATTGGGACCTGTGTTCTGCTCGCCCCAAAAAGACAGTCAAGGTCCTGGCAGGGTCACTGGCCCCTTATGGCACGAGGGGAAGGGGCCTGCCGCATCACCAACCTCGCCCAAACCATTAGTGGACTCTGGACTTGTGTGGCACTTTGAACAATTTCCTCACAGCTCACCTGTCATTTTCATTCTTATAAATGACAAAAGTGAAAAGCTAGCGGGAATAAGCTGTTTTCTGAAAGTATCAGCTGGGACCCGAACCCAGGTCCCCTGCCTCCTAGTCCAACACAGGGACCCCAGCTCTGTTCTCAGAGCTGACCAGTGAATGGTCTAACTTTCATCTCATGTCTCATGTTCAAAAGGCACACGAGACAATCTTGAAACTTTAAGGAAAGAGACCAGTTGTCACAAGACACTTCAGAAAAGGTGATGTTAATCTTTAGATTCCCCGGCTTTCTTTGCAAATGCCCCAATGAGTAGCTTCAAAGCACAGTATTGGAATTTCGTTGTTAGCATTCAATACCTTTATGGGAACATTCTGCTAAGCATTTTTAAAATGACCTTGCTGCTGCTGTCTCCCCATTTGCCATGAAACCCGAAGCTCGCCCATGCCTGCAGGGGAAAAGGTTCTTGCCACTCCACTTGCCCGCCATCCCCAAGGGGCAGCCCTGCCTCTGCGCTTGCAGCCCTGCCTGTGCTGAGAAGGGACTCTGTGTTAAGGCTTGCCTCGTGCTGCGCCTGGAATGCAAGTGGCTCTCCGTGGTACCAGTTCTAAGAGAAACTTTATATGATGCTATTTCATTTCTTCTAGAATATGTGTCCTGAGACCTTTTGTTTATGTGTTGGAATGAGGCCACAGGATAGAGACCCTGGGAGCAGGAAGTTAAGGGGCAGGAAGTCGTAGGAATTCAGAAGCGCCTCGGTCAGAGATGTTCTGCCTCCTCCTGCTCCGGGGGCTCACGGCGCCATGGCTGACATGCTGATGCGGCCACCGTAGTAACACACGCTCTCCCAGCCCAGCGGTCTCCCACGGAAATGCCTGCTCCGTAGCACGTCGCCTGGCTCATCCCCACCTCAGTTCTGCTGCGTGCCCCCATTTAATGGGCCCTCTGAAGTGGGGGGACCCATCTTGCTCTGGTTTGTCCGTATTTCTACAAAAGAGGGAGCTATAGAAACCCCACTTCAGGTACCAAGCAGCCATGACATCTGTAACTGAAAATTTTATGGGGTTTTTGTTGTTGTTGCTGTTTTTGTTATTTTTTCTTTTTTTTATGTAGACATACCCAGCTTCACAGTAGCTGTGTGGCAAATTACTTGTTGCTTTGTCCTCCCCATCTTAATTTGACTTTTTAACCTCTTTTTCATCACCCTCTCTGAGGCTTATGTGGCACAAAGTACTCATAGACTGAAAATATGAAGGAAGAGAGGATTAATCCTTATGGGAAATAACATTAGGTACAATTTATTGAGCACTCTTGTGTTCTAGGTGTGGCCTTTTTTCCTTTTTTTTTTTTTTTACACATAGTACTGTATTATCTTTATTTTCACAAACTGCTCTGACACCTGTATTGCCACGTTTTATACTGCAGTAATCGGAATGAGTCAGGACGAGAGGAGATGGGGCATTCCAGGGAACGGGGTGGGAGAAGACCGAGAGGTGTGAACAACAGGGGGGGGGGGGGGGGGGAGAGAGAGAGAGAGAGAGAGAGAGAGAGAGAGAGAGAGTGTGTGTGTGTGTGTGTGTGTGTGTGTGTGTGTAATAAAGGTACCTCTGGTAGTTTGATATTTCAGATGTAGAAAAAAGAGTACATTAGAAATGACCAAATTTAGAAAATAAAAGAGGGCCACATACCTAAGGACACCAGAAATTCATGGAGGTCACGGGGGCTTTGTGTGAAATGCTGGTGGGTTCCGATTTTCTCCTGCGGCAATAGAGGAGGGTTTTTGTTTGTTTTAATGAACTACAAGTTCATGGGGGTGTAATAGAGTTTTTGTTAGTGTCACTCACATGTGCGTATCTGGACTTGGAAAGAGAAAATACATGAGCTTTAAATGACATTGAAGGCATCTATTAATATGTTCAGAGTAAAGTTATAAGTGCAATTCTGTTCCTGCTATACAAAACTTTTCTGACAGCGATTTTCAAAAATAATGCTTGGTCAATATTCATTCCCCAAGATTGTTCCGAGGCAGAGGGTGGCCTCCCACCAACTTTTGCAAAGTGATAAATTGTTGTCTAATATTTAAAGTTATTAATACCCTAAGGGGCATATCTAGGCATGAAACATCTGAGAGTCAATGGAAACGAGGCCTGGTTTATTGTTAAATTGAAATTAGCATTTTAAATTGAAATTAGCAATTTAAATTAGTATTTTCTATTTTTGTATCCTACATGATACATTATAATATTCCAAGTAAATATAAGTGTTACTTAAAATATGAAACACTTTCATTGTCTGAACTTCTGACACATAAAAACTTAAGACAGTTTAATATCAGAGCTTTCAATTCCTTGGCTAAATCCTGCCACATCTATTGGCAAAAATCTGCTTGAACAGAGCCCATGATTCTCAGTTCTGAAAGCAAATGGCTTTGGCTTTAGACCTAACGGAAAATTTCAAAAGGCAAAAAGAATTCGTTGTTCCTCAGAATTGGCTTTCCCCAAGAGATCATTAGTGACTCAGATGGTTCTCAGCTGCCCATTTCTGTTCCTCTTCCTTTATTCTTAAAGTCCCATGTTTCCTTCTGATCTGTCTTCCTTTCAGCCAGAAAAACTTCCTTTAGCATTTCTTTTAGAATAGGTCTGCTGGTAAAACATTCTTTTATTGGGCTGGCCAAAAATTTAGAGTTTTTTTCCATATGATGGCTCTAGTAGCGCTTAGTTGTCTTTAACTTCATTCAAAACAATTTTGTTAGGTTGTATTTTGACAGCTGTCATATCAGCGTGCATTTTTTAAAACATATCAAAATTAGTGAATTTTTGGGCAGCCATTTTAATAATGAGGATGTAAGAAAATATGTAACGTTTTCAGCATATTAGGCTTTATTATTTCAAGAAAGATAAAACACAACTGAAATGCAAAAAAAGATTTGTGCAGTGTGTGGAGAAGGTGCTGTGACTGATCAGACATATCAAAAGTCATTTGTGAAGTTCCTTGGTACTATTGACATTTTGGCCAAATAAATCTTTGCTGTGGGGCTGTCTTATGCATTGGAAGGTGTTTATCAGCACCCCTGGCCTCTACCCACTAGAAGCCAATTGCAGGAGAGAGCCGACATACTCAAAATATCCACATCAACAAAGTTATTGGTGAAAATGAAAAATGTGTCTTTTATGTTATAGAAAAAACTTAATGAACTTTTTGGCCAACCCAATAGTTTTTCTTCATCTAAGAATTCTGCTCTGATTCCTGAAAGATGTTTCCGCTGGAATTCTGGGCTGCCTGTCCCTTTCAGTACTTTTTAATTGTTGCTCCACTTTCTTCTTGCCTCCTTGGTCTCTGACGAGAAATGCACATTTAAATACTAGTTCCTCATATAAATAATATGTTATTTTCTTTGGCTACTTCCAAAAATTTTTTATCTTTGGTTTTCAGCAATTTGCTTATGATATGGATGGGCCTGATTTTCTCTGGTTTATCCTGTTTGGGGTTTGCTGAGCTTTTTGATGATGTAAATGTATGTCTTTTACCAAATTTAGGAAATTTTAAGCCATTATGTCTTCAAATATATTTTGTGCACTAATCTTTCTCTTCTCTTTTTTGGGACTCCAGTGACGCACATGTTAGACCTTTCGATATTGCCCCACAAGTCCCTGAGGCTGTTTTATTCCCCCCAATGTCTTCAGTCAGTGCTTCTGAGTAGTCTGTCTTTAAGTTCACTGACTTGCCTGTCTCCATTCTGTGAGTGGTTTTTTTGAACTTCAAATATTATAGTTTTCAAAACTAAAATTTCTATTTTTAGGGGGTTTTTTTGCATGTGTGTACTTCTTTGCTGAGAACTTCTGTCTCTTCATTTCAAGAGTATTTACTTTTATCATGGAGTATAGGAAAGACTATATTTTAAAGCCTTTGGTAATAGCTTCAACATTGGGGTATCTTCCCCTGAGAATTGCTCACATTTTACTAGTGCTTTTTATAGTGGGTAATTTTGTATTGTATTCTGAACTTTTTCAGTATTATGTTGTAAGACTGTGGGTTCTGTTCAAATCCCTTGGAAAACGTTGACTCCACGCTGCAGGGGGGATGGTTCAGGTTTCACAGGCGCCGCTGTGTCCCCCACGGGAGCCATCCAGGGCTTAGTCTGGGACTTGGGTAGTTGCTTCTTTCATGGTCAGTTCTCAAAGCCCTTGCAGTGCTGCTTTGGCTGGGTCTGTCCCACACACGTGCAGCTTGAGAGTGAGGCTAGGACTGACGTCCGTTCACACACAGAATTAGGGGATCTTTTCCAGCTCTCTCCTGTTTGGTCCCTGTTTTCCCCATACTCTCTGGCTCCCAGCAGCCCCTTTTCCTGGACAATCTGGCTAGAAAGACAAGTTCCCGTGGTCATACGGCAGCCTGTACCGTCTACACGGCTGGGACCACTCTCAATAAGAGAGAAAAGACACTGAGGATTCCGCTCATACTCTTTGGACCACGGGTCCTTTTCCCAGTTCCTCGGGTCAGAAAGAAGGGTCTTCTCTTGGGGTTTAAAATGCCAGCGCCAGCCCTGCCCAGTGCAGGCTGTTTTAAGTGGAATCACTGCGGTGAGGGGCAGGGCGAAGGAAAAAAGGAGAGAAGGGAGGGTTAACACTGGATTTCCCCAGGCTCTTGAGCTCACAGTGGCCCCTTTCTCTCATCCTCTGGTTTTAAGGCAGGGCTTTTCTCCCAGTTTTTGCCACCACACTGTCTGCGTGGTTCTGCCCTGGCGCTGTTCTCAGGTCAGAGCTGCTACAGAAAAGGTGGGGAAAACCAGAAACGCACCCCCTGTCTGGGTCGCGCTGCAAGGCCGGGCCCCCGCCCAC